TTTTCCCAGAGGATGCCTAACAGAGGTGGTGTTACCTAATAGAGAAAAGTAAGAGCAAGGTTCGTGAACCTGGAGTGCCACTCCTAATCAGTGTCTTGGGGAGTTCCTGCACCTATTTCAGTTTTCCAGCTGTTAAATCATAAGGAGGATTTTTAAACTTCTTTCTGGATGAGCATACTGATAACAAACACTCTACAATACAAGTGGTAACCTGTATATTCTGATTCTAGGCTGAAATTCTTGAACATAACCTAGAAAGAGGCAAGCACGCTAACCCCAGAAGAGCAACAGGGCTGGTGAGTAGGGCGCTCTCTGGGGACTACGGGAGACATAAACTCAAGTCTTTTTCAAAGGGTTCTTCTATAATGGAATTGTCCTAACCAATAGGCAACAGTGAAATTTCTAGTAGTTGAGCCTGCCTCTTCTGCTTCCCCTTTTCTCTCTGAAAATACCCAGTAGTGGGAAAGTTCCTGCAATCTCAGAAAGTATCAGAAACCCAGGAAAGTATTTATCACCGCGCAGATGTAGTATCTGATTAGCGATCAGCATTTTGCTTTGGAAGCGACAGCCCCGGGCGTGTTGCTGCTGCCCTGCTCGGTGATGCAGTGGCTGCATCTCTGCCCTGGCTCCCGCACTAGGTGGCAACAGAGCGTCACCGCCGTCCCCACCAGCGCCAGAGGAGCCACGGGCGAGCCAAACTGTGCCCAGGCATTACAAACCTCAGGCTTTTCCACTCAGCTTTCAACAGCACAGCACTTTTGCACCTGCAGTCTATTGGCAAACTCAAGGCAGCAAACTCGCAGCAAGGACTAGAGTTCCCATATTTAACCAGAGGCAGAAGAAGAGTGAGCATGCAGAAGAAGGGGAGGTTTTGTTTTGGGTTACATTCATATTTAGCATGCAAGCATGCCAAAATCATGATCTCAGAAACAGCAGTGAAACTTAGATACGTCCTTTCAATAAATCAGTGCCTGGGTTGACAACTGAGAGATCTGCCCAATAGGCTTAAAATTCACCTCCTGCAAATGTAGCTTCCAGCATTGACTCATAGTTGCAGATGTAGGGCCAAGAACACAGTCTGCAAGTCACTTAGTAGCAATCTCAAAGTCCTTTTTACATGCTAAGCTTTTGCTCTTGTGAGTCTGGCATTCTTCTTCAGGCCAGTCCTGTTTAATATCTTTGTCAGTGATCTGAAAAAGGGGACTGAGTGCCTTCTCAGTCTGTTTGCAGACAACACTAAATTGGATGGGAGTGTTGATCTGCTGGAGGGCAGGAAGGCTCTAAAATTTAAAATATGCTGTTCTAGTGGAAATCTATTTCCTGTCCCTTTCCCTTATATCAAAGTCTTCAGTATACCTCACTAATATCTGAAATAATGAAACATAACTACAAAAGAGCATATCACTGCCTTTAAACTGTCATATTCAAAGAAAACAAACACCCATCTGGCATTTATTTTGAGCATTATGTTACACCTTCTGTTAGCAACACACTGTTGAACATTATACCAAATTAACATGTCTCAAAGAATCAAAACTTACCCTAGGTCTTGGCTTGTGCTGTCACAGGGAATTCAAATGTCAATATGTGAAAGATTTAATTCTCTGCTCCACCTGCTGCTGATGCCATAGATCAAAGAGGGTAATGTCTGTATGCAACATATAAAAACTTGTTAAACAAATGTGCAACAACCAAAACACTACCAAAAAAAAAAAAAAAAAAGGAAAAAAAAAAAAAACACCATCATATATAATTAAGCATTTTCATCAGTTTAAAACCAAAGACAGAATAAAAAAAATTCTTGAAAAAAAATAGTTTCTCATTGCAATTGCTTCTGTTTTTAGTAGAGAAATTAAAAGTCAGTTATCTTTTCAGAAGGCAGATGCTTAGCCCTTAAAAGTTTTGGCCTTATCAAAAAGTTTGTTCTGCAAATAAATTCCTACAACATCAAGTCATATTAAGATTACAAGAGGATGTGACAGTTCTCTTTCTCCTGTTAGTTGCAGTAAGTAAACCAATATGCAGGAATGCGTCATGAAACACCTATCTAGTTCTGTTGCATCCAAAGTCAATATCAGAACTTATTTTCTTTTTTATGCATAGGACTATTGGTGTTTAAAACAGCACAGATGATCATCTTTTTGAATACCTGGCAAGACATTTGGCTTTCAGTAGCTACTGCTTGTAATTAAGAGGTCTCTCCACTCCAGTGAATAAAAGAACATACCTTGCTCTCTAATGAAACTATAATCTAAGAACAAAGTCAATCAAGTAAATTCCAGAAGCAATTATAATAATTCCAGATAGATGAAAATTCTGTGCTTTCTGTTTTGTTACAAGCATCAGAAAGTTACCTCTTTAGTTATATTATGAATGTAATTTAGGCTACTCTAAAAGCCCTGGGTTAGGTGTGTCAAGGAATATTCACTTTCTCCAAGCATATAGACTGTGCCTAAGACCTTTTATTTCTCAAAATGTCAATTATTTATGTTTTATGAATTAGGAAAGTTTCTCTCTACTTCTGTAGATTACTCTTTGCAGTAATAAACATTAAACCTAATTCTGCAGTCATCCACAAAGACAGAAAAATACCATTGGACCTTACTTTGCAGTGCACAGTGGGAACATTCAACCCTGTAAAAAGCCATAGAAGTGATAAATCACCTGAGGTCTTTATAGATATTGGACCATTTTTCTTCTGAGTTGTAAACTAGTAAATTAAGTTTTTGACAAGTTCCTTGCTCACTCTACTTATTCATTGCACCTGGAATTTTCAAGAAGACCTAAATTGCACTCAAAACTTTGAAAATATCCTGCTAAATGTACTTTACAGTTTATTTCCAAATGCGATTGAAAGAGATCAATGCCCACTCTATTTCAACGGAACAATTACATTTTGGGTAGAAGCTGATGATGGAAGGCCTTAGAGTTGAAATTAATCTTAGTACACACACTAGACTAAGTTCTCTTTCTCCAAAAGGCATTCTAAAACAGAAGAAAGAGTCTTTTTCCCTTCCTTCTTTCTGTCCTTTTTTCCCCTCCTTCATTCCTATCTTCCGACTTCCAACTTCTGACTTCTCTATCTTCTAATGTCAGATACAGTGATGAAAAAATAATAAGAGAAATTCTTGTTGCCAAGATGTAAATATATTCTGATAAAGACACCTCCATTCTTTTGTTAGTTTTGTTTTTTGTCCTTTTTACCACATAGCTACAAAAGGCCTTCACAGTCATCTCATCCTTGCTGCACAAAGGGATCAGCTTTATCTAGGTCAGTACTGACTTGTTTTCTATTTTCTTACAATCTCCAATGGCAGACTCCAACTAAGGTGTTCTCACACTTCCTTTTTCTTGCCATTAAATTTTTGTTCTCTGTGTCTACTTTGAAACTTCCTTGTGACTGAAGCTTGCTTCGATTTGCAACAATCATAAGAATGGGTGATATCCTTCCTGCTTTGCTTATTTGAAGTTATCATGACCCACTCAATCATCTCCCTAATTTGTTCAATCTTTCCTCACAAATCATCCAGCTGCAGCTATGGAAAGACTTGTGTAGCTTTTTAAAATATATAAAACAGGCTCCTAAATATATAACAAGGAACTATCTAAAAGAAGTTGCACACCATTCTTGAGATGGTCTATATTTCTGAGGGTACAGATGGATAATCCTGATTTCCATTGAGTTTACTTGCTGTTGTGCAAACTCGGATGAGCATGGTGGTCCCCTAAAGTGTATGGGAGAAAGACAGCTCCCCATTCCTTAATTCAGGAAACTACAGATGTAAAGCAGGTAGAGAAAACAGAGTAGATGTGAAATTCTGTCATTTTTTATGAGCATATTTCTACATGGTTGTTGCTTTTATGAATTCCAGTTAATGCCATTCTTAATATGACATGGAGAACTGCTTTGTTAGTTGAGGACTAGTAAGCTCCGAATTTGTAGAACAGAGCACCTAACCCGCTCTTTTCAAAAAAGGATTTTGTTCCACTGCACAATTTTTAAAATTGGTTGGATTTTTCCATATCAGTTCATGCGGTCAAGGACTTCCAGGAAAGAAAAAGACAATGCAAGTCATATACAAAACTATACAAACCATATACATGTTATGTTACCTAAATGCCAAGAATTCAAAGTTAGTACCTCTATCTTCTAGAGTGAAGCTCGTCAAGAACATTTTTCAGGAATATAGTTTCCTATTTCACTAATTAAAAAAAAAAAACCTTAGATACAATGTCAGAAATTTCAAACTGATGAAAAGAACACTGGTTAAAGAGAGAAGATAAGGCTCAAGTGTATCACCTATATTCCCTGAATATCATCAACAGAAAATATGAATACCTCCTCTTGCATGCATGGAATTTTTCTTTGTATAATTAAATATGCCTTTCTGCAGAGGGTGGTGAAGACAATTCACTCTTCCTTAGACAATTCATAAATAACTGCAGTATGGGTAGGCCATTCATGCAGAAAATATTTATTCTACAGAATATTGTGCAGCAATTTAGAGTATACATAAAAGAATGCATCCTTCCAATACCTATACACCTAGTCTTTGTATATCCTTCTCCTTTATGCTTGTGAATCCCGTTAGCATTCCAGTGATAGGTTAGAATGGCATAATGGCTTACTTACCTGGCACAATTTAGACTTTTTTCTTTTTCATTTCATCAATCCAGCTGTGGAGTTAGCTGCACTTAAACAACTCAACATGTGCTTACATAATGGCTCACTGATGGCTATGTTTATTAAAGATAAAAAGAGCAAGGAGAATATAATCCAGTCACCAACAGATTTGAAACATCCTGTTGCTGCAGATATTTCCGTGGTGTTCCAAGTTGCATTGCAAAGTTGTCTCCCTGTTGGTCTTATATACCAGCTGCTTCCTGACATCACAAATAATTTAGCATTGCAGACATCCAAAATAATGCAACACTTTTCTTCTTCTTTACAGCTATGCTTGCTTTCAGACTTATCCTTCTGTATTTTTCTTTCCTTCCAGGTAATGCATTTGTGGTGAGCCTAGCTTTGGCTGATCTGGTGGTGGCCTTGTATCCATACCCACTGGTGCTCTTAGCTATTTTCCACAATGGATGGACACTGGGTGAAACGCACTGTAAAGCGAGTGGCTTTGTGATGGGACTAAGTGTAATAGGCTCTATTTTCAACATCACTGCAATTGCAATAAACAGATATTGCTACATATGTCATAGCTTTGCCTATGACAAAGTGTACAGCTGTTGGAATACAATGTTGTATGTCTCCTTAGTCTGGATATTAACAGTAATTGCAACTGTGCCAAATTTTTTTGTTGGCTCTTTGAAGTATGATCCACGCATCTATTCATGCACATTTGTCCAAACTGCAAGCTCCTACTATACAATAGCTGTTGTGGTCATTCACTTCATCGTCCCTATCACCATCGTCAGCTTCTGCTACCTTCGAATTTGGGTTTTAGTGCTTCAAGTTCGAAGACGAGTCAAGTCAGAAACAAAGCCAAGATTGAAGCCAAGTGACTTCAGAAACTTTCTTACCATGTTTGTTGTTTTTGTGATTTTTGCCTTTTGCTGGGCACCTCTAAACTTCATTGGACTGGCTGTAGCCATTGATCCTACGGAAATGGCACCAAAAGTTCCTGAATGGCTATTCATTATAAGTTACTTAATGGCCTATTTCAACAGCTGCCTTAATGCAATAATATATGGTCTTCTTAATCAGAATTTTCGGAATGAATATAAACGAATTTTAATGTCACTGTGGATGCCAAGGCTTTTCTTCCAGGACACATCCAAAGGAGGAACTGATGGCCAGAAGAGCAAGCCTTCTCCAGCTTTAAACAACAATAACCAAATGAAAACTGAAACCTTGTAAATGTGTAATAGTCAACACAAGAGTTTGTCATGGAGAAAACCAAGATCGTAATTGTAATGTTCTGGTCATTCCTGCTTAATTCTGGGGAGTTTCCACTTGGATCACACTTTATGACTGGAATACTGTCTTCATAGTAAAGCACATTGCTCTGGACTAGTAATTTATACAAGATATTAATTGAAAATGTGTTTCAGAGGTAAAGCTGCAGGTGGGTGCAAGCTGTTTTAGTTCTGAGAGCTGAATCCTGCTTCCAAACACATGAACAAGGTATTTTTTTACTTCAGCGAGAGTTTTGCATTCTTTATATAAGATCAGGATTCATTTCTTTGAAGATGTAGTGAGTCTATGTGTTCAGCTCATCAAAGCTCTGGAGTGGTATTTTCCTCCTTCTGTGTCGGAACAGAGGGTGAGAAGACACTCTATTTTTTACACATAAGCCAAACACTGCATTTCTGTGCATGTACTTGTGGCAGTAATGATGACTTTGAATCCAAATTTGTAAACTGGAGAGAAGAATATTTGTGTAAAAGAAAATATTAACATTAGAGATTTTCCTCACATGTTCTTCATACTTACATACATTGAGAATGGGAATATACTGTTTCTACTTCCTTCATCTTTCATGGTTAATTTTGTGGCAGATTGGTTGATTTCTCACAGATTTACCTTACACAATATTGTTCCTTTAGAAAAGATTGAAATTTCATTGAACTTCATTTATTTACTAAAATATATCTATAAAATGTCATTTGGTGCACTTTAGCAGACCTTACACATTTGTGACAGACTAGAAATTATAGCATATGACCTGTGATCATCTGGAGTGGCAACTGGACGCTAGACAGGATATCCTAGATCATCTCAAATGATGTTAGACCAAAAGAAGAAGAAGCCCTTTTGAGTATAATGGTAGCTGCTGTACTTGACTCACATGTCTACATTGAATCTCAAACAAAACCCACCGCTGGTGTGTAACCTGCGGCAACCTTCAAGGTTCCCTGTACTGAAGACATGTTTCCTTCCATCCGTGATGATAAACACACTTCCAAGGACAAGATTAATTGCTTTGTGGAGGTGCTGGTCTCCTTTTACTGACTTTAAAAGCAGCTTTGATTAATAGTTCAAAGACCTAATTTTGGATAGCTAGAGAGGCATTTTATCTTGCTTAATTTGGGATAAATCCAGTGTAGATGTTTGCAAACAATCCATTTTCTAAATACTCACAGTAGTTCTTAGAGTCGTAGGAAATGATTCCTTTTCTTTTGAAACAGATATCTTTATTGATCAGGGGAGCTGATCAGCAGAACTCAGTAACTGTACCTTCACTGACTCTAACAAAGATCAGGTTGCTCACACACACATTTCAGGCAAGGACAGGTCATCTTAATTCCATAAATAATTTACCTACACTTCATATTTGCATTTCATAAAATAAAGGATTGTTTTCCACTTTATTTTTAAACTCAGCTCAAATTCCAACTGGATTTCTGCTTTTCCAGGTAACAAATTGTACCAGTGACTGTGCAGATCAGATTACAATTTGGGTTATACTCCAGAGCATCATAGTAATTTACACAATGTGGTTGTACTATTTCTAAATCAGACTAGGGATCTGTGCACAAGCACACAGTCAATGAGCTTATTTTATCATTAGGCTTGACATGCACATTACTCTTAGCATTTCTTAGTAGTGCTGTTCAGGATAGAGGAGCTGGGTTGCTGATATATCCATGTCAGGTTTTGAAATGGGACAATAAGGAATGCAGGTTGCTTATTACATTCCAGTTTGAGTTTCCTGACCTGGCTATTATGAAAACTATTTCTGCGGTAATATTAATTTATACAGCAAACATACTCCTTCTGAAGCCATAAAGATGTATTAACATCACCCTTATGTTGCTAAAGTGATAGAAAATTATCAAAGAACCAGGGTATCTTAAATGTTCTATTAGCTCGCCAAAAGCCTATGTAAAGTACAGCAAAGTAACAAATGTGATTATTATTTTAGCTGCTTTCATGTTCTTCACGTGATTTCTGATAATCTCAGAAGGCCAGCACCCTCAGATTCATCCAGTGGTGGGCTAAGAAGCTGAAAACTTTGTGCGTATGGGTAATGAAGAGATAGGACAAATATAACTTCATGGCAGAAAATAAAAATATTATGGCTAAAAGTAGCAATCATTAATATCTAGGTTTTACCTGAAACATAATTTTGTAAGTCTGAAACAATTTTGATATGTATTGTCTTTTTCCATGATGTCCACAGCAAGATATAGAACAAAATAATAAGTATATATGTATATCTACATGTAAAATTTCCCCCAGAGTAAATAAGGAGTCTCAAGAGTCTCTGAAACTTGTAGGAAAGGATAGAAATTTTGATTCCTGACAGTCCTGCTTTTTCTGACTTCTCAGTAGTCAAAATTGTGACTTGAAAGTCAAAATTGGTTGTCTGACTTACAGGTGAAATATTATTAGAAATAAGTTGATAGACCTTGGTTTTTCTCTCACTGGAATGAGTCAGAATAACCCAAAATTATCAGGTTAGCTCCATAAAATAAATTTAAATGTTGGAACCATTTATTTGGCCACAAAAGTGAGCTTCTATCACTTTCAATACTCATGAGGAGCAGACTTAATATCTGTATAAAGTAATTTTACAAATTTATCTGCTCTTTAAAAATTAAATATCACTTTCAGAATCCTTGTTCTGATATGTTCCCAACTATTCTAAATGAAGCTCACACAATTGAATAGAATCACTGAGTCATGGAATGGCCAGGGTTGGAAGAGACTAGAAAGATCACTTCGTGTCAGCCACTGTGACCTGGTCCCGGACACCTTCCACTAGACCAGGGTGCTCAAGGCCCCGTCCAGCCTGGCCCTGAGCACTTCCAGGGATGGAGCATGCACAACTTCTCCAGGCAACCCATGCCAGTGTTTCACCATCGTCACAGAGAGAACTGTTCCAAAATTGGATCTTTCCTCACAAGCAATGGAAAATTTTTGACACAGTGCTAAACTATTAGGTGTGGATTTTACTACCACAGCATTACCTGAAAGGGGCCCTGCACTGGATGGTAATTGTAAAGTCAACTTTGCTGTTATTGTGCAAGGTACTGCTACTTGTTGAGTCCTGATGTATGGAAAATAACCCATGCCTGTTAAAATAAGTTTTATACCACGTATTAGTGCAAAATATTGCATTTGAGTTGACCTGGAAATCAATCAAATCCATAAAATTTAAATGTTCTTGTAAGTCAATCAAATGTAAAAAATTATATTTAGATGACTAAATGCAGCTTTGTGTAGTAATGTATAATTCTACCTACATCAGAAGCCTTAAATTAGTTTTCTCCCTTTCCTTACTTTAATTCAAAATCCATTTCCCCAAAGTTAAGTTTGAAGGAAAACTGTATAAATGCACTATTAAGAGAGTTGATGTGGTTATAGCATGATTTGAAAGTATAGTCAGGAAGAACATATCAACTCTGAAAAGATTTATGCATCTTTGAGAAAATTATTACTTTTGTTATATAAAAGTATATTTACACCAGCATATCTGATATAGGCACTTTAAGAAAAAAGAGGAAAAAAGTCAGGTAGACCCTGTGTCCTGCACAAGGTAACTAGTGAAGGAAAAACTAGGGCCTCAGGGAAAAAGTCTGTTTCCAGAAAATGTGGAGTGTTTTCAAATTTTTAGTGTTACCTGGATTAAAAAATGTTGTATTTTCTGTTAATTAAAAGAAGTAAATGTATTCTAGAATTGTTCTTACAGTACACTTCAGAATAGAAAAATGCTTACTCCAAAGTAGATGGGTGAAGACCAATTGTAAATTCTGTTCCAGTAAAGAGAGAAGTGGAGGTCTGGTAAAGTCTAAGTGAGACTGAAACAATGCATTAGTCTTATCCTGTCTCTCTGTGCTAGTGAAAATATCACTCTCAAGGAAGAATTAAAACTAAAGGCACAGTCCTATTACTTTTGACTTTCATGAGATTTCTCACTAAATTATTGACTGAATGGAATAATTCTGCCTGGCTCATTCTCAGGAGCAGAAATATATTTCTGTCTCTCCACTTCTTCCTTTAAGAACATACTTGGATAAAACTTATTGCTTTCATTTCCCAATTGTACTTTAATGAATTGCACCAGTCTGGGAATTTGCCAACGAATAAATATTTATGGAAGATTGTATATATTTCTTAATATGTATATAAAACAATTTTGGTCATCTGAACAATTTGTTGCACTTGAAGATGTTTACAGAGTTAATGGAAAATGAGGAAGACAATTTATTTTCAGTCATCTATTGAAATGTTGTTAGTTTAACTGGATCTTGCACATCATTATTATCTATAATAATAAATCAATATTTTACCTCAAGTTACAATGAGCATGCAGTGAGACCACTATGAATATCAGCTACAGGACACACAACCGATTCCTGTTCATTTTCTTGTTAGTAACACCTTCATCTGAAAAAATAATCTAATAAGATACTTTTTTCAGTCTATATTTATAAATACTTCTATGGCATAAAATTAGTCCAGGTTAAGAGAATGAAGGAGCTGTGAGAAATTGGGTACTCCTAATTTAACTGGAGTTGGAGGTTAAACCTGGAGGTGATGCACTCTGTGACCCCCTGGACTCAGTCACAGAGGTGAAACTTTCCCATTCACTAACTGTAGAGACTCTTGCGTCAGCCCTGGGGGTTTTACTCCTTGTGGATAGCCAGGAAGATCCTATGGAATGTTGCTGTGATTCACTTACAGAAGTTAATCTCATGGCATTGCACAGGCAAAGCTCCAAATAGTGGCTGCAGAAAGAAGCCTTGAAATTGCTGTATAAAGGGAGAATTACTCTTTGGGAGAATGAGGTAGAGCTGGCCACAATAACAGCATTTTTAAAATTTATGTCTGAAATATGTACCAACTGATTTTACTCTTCTGTAAACTTACTGAGGTTCCCTTTACCTACAGTCTTGTGATAAAATCAACTAAATGTATGTAAACTGACA